AGCAGGGAGTCTGCTTCTCCCTCTGACCCTCTTCCCTCTCGTGCTCTCTCTCTCTCATTCTCTCTCTCTCAAATAAATAAAATCTTAAAAAAAAAAGTTTAAAAAAAACAAAAATCCTTTTCCAGCTTGCCGTTGGAGTTCATTAAAAAGGGGACTTGTGGCTGTGGGCATTTAAATCCTTTCAAAATATCTTAGCATCCAGTTCCTATTTCTTTGTCTTGACCATGTGATATCATGCGAGAGTTTTGTCAGCTGTCTCTGTGAAATCCGAATTCATTAGGCTTACAGCGTTTGCCTGAGGAGTCTAGTGGTCTTTTCTCTTTTTTAAGATTTAATTATTTATTTGAGGGGGGAGGGGAAGAGGGAGAGTGAGTCATAAACAGATTCTGCACTGAGCATGGAGCCCAATGCAGGGCTTGATCTCATGACCCTGGGATCCTGACCTGAGCCAAAACCAACAGTCAGACACTTAACCAACTGCACCACCCAGGTACCCCTCTAGTGATCTTATTTTTTTTTTTAAGATTATTATTTATTTTTGCGAGAGAGAGAGAGCAGGTGCATGAGCAGGGCGAGGGGCAGAGGGAGAAGCAGACACTCCCTGCTGTTCAAGGAGTCTGATGCAGGACTCGATCCCAGGACCCTGGGATCATAACCTGAGCCGAAGGCAGACGCTTAATGGACTGAGCCACCCAGGTGCCCCTCTAGTGATCTTATTTTTAAAGAATGAGGTTTTGATTATTTCAGGGAAAGAGGTACCTTAATTAAAAAGCCCATAAGGGCATCATAATTTTGAAGAAAAAGTGCCAAACTTCTCAATGTCCAAAGAAAAAGTTTACTTGCTGTGCTCATCCATATCAGAAACTCTTTTCTAGAATTAACTTTTTTTCTTTTTTCTTTTGCTTATGCAAATCTGATAAAACTTTCTTCCAAAGTGAAAATAACTTTATTATTTATTTGGACCATAAAACTTACACATGGAAGCTAAAAAATTAAAATATACGAAAAAAGCATGGAATAAAAATAGAAATCCCTAGAATCCACCCAAAGATGAACACAGCATTTTGAGGAATATTTTCCAATGCATATATACGGGAATAATATTTAAAATATTTAACAACTGGCACAGGAAAGGCACTGACCAATCAGAACAGACACTGACCATAAACAGCAAGCATGTCAATTACAGCCTTATCAGTATGTACTGGCTGAACTGCATTCCTGTAGGTGTGCACATGCATGTGTGTATATGCCAAGAGCACCAAATATTTCTTCTAACTGGAAGAGGACCAGATCTCTGTCTATGGTCTGTTTTTTCACTCAGTAGGTATGGATAGTTTCCATACCAATATAAAAATATATCACCACTTTTAATAATTGTAGCATTTTCCACTGTATAAAGCCAGAATAATTTATTTCACCAGGCCTCCAGTTTTCCAAATTTTTCACTATAAGGAATTGAGTTCATGGCTCCATTTAGATTTGCTGCTTACATTGTTTTGTGAGGTCACCTTCACTAAACTACCGAAAAGTAACAGGATGGGCATTTGTTCCCTTAAAAACATACTCCCTTAATAGATGGAGATCGGGATCTTCCCTTAGTCTCCCAGCTGTCCTGAGCCAGTTCTGCAGTGTCCACCTTGCAGTATGAGAGGCCGCCGGCAGGAGAGCTTACTTCTGGGTTAGGATCTCCTAAAGGAACGGGCTTTCTATTTACGCTTCTACTCACCTCACTTACTTTGGCTTCTGTGGAGTTCTTGACTATCCCCACAACTTTAACTATCCTCATTTCCTTCTGTATCTGGCCTCTGCACATCTACCTATACTTGCCACATGGCCTGACTCCAACCATTGATGCATCCACCACTGCTATGACTTCTGCTCACAGGCCTCACTCCTGACCTCACCTTTGTCTTGATCTTTGATATGGCTGAGATTTCTGGCTTCTGGCTATCTTCTAGCCCCAGAGTACTACTTAGCCTTCTGTTAACTTGGACCTTGTCTTGGTTCCAGACAAGTCATTTAAGTGCATATTCACTTTCCTAAACTCATCTGAATCAAGCACATAAGTAAGAGGGGGTCCATGTCTCACCTGGTTGTACAGAGCTCTATAACTGCTAGTCCAGAGGTGTCCCCGTAGTCTGCCAAACCTAGATTTTTGGTGTCATCCATAGCTTGTTGCCCAAACAGAGGCTCATAAAATCAATCTAGTGTATGCCCACTAGTCTCTAATCTACTGTAAGTTCCATCATCTTTAAAACTCAAAATTCTTAGTGAATCTTCTGGAGTAATTGATAGCTTGCAGGGTAGAGTTGGAGAATACCAAGTGGTCAGATGTTAATAAAAAGTCTTGTTCAATTTGATGTTGTAAGGAAGAGTGTTACTTCAAGCTTTGGAAGTGAGTCAAATTTTTTTCAAGGAGGCAACTGCCAAGATTCTCAAAGCAACCTGGCTAGAAGGTTGTTAATTACATGTGCAACATGTGATAAAGCTATTCTGAGAAAGGAAATGGGGCTATTCCACTTGGCTCCACTTTTCAGAGTAAAGGCAGGAGGAAAGCATGATCTGTAGATAGGATTTAAGGAACCCTACAGAGAGAGACTCCCCTCCCTAGAAGCACAAAGTAAATAGACAACCAGGAGGAAAAGAGTGAGGAGCTGGAGCAGGGGGAAATGCCAGTGGAGAAGGAGCCAGAGGAAGGCTAGAGGAGGAAGGGGAGGAGTCAGCACAGGGGGAGGAGTCTGCAGAAGGGGAGGAGCAACTGGAGGAAGAGGAACTAGAAGAGGAAGAGAAGAGCAAAAGAAGGATGCTGGTTCCCCAACCTTGAAAAACTAGTATATTCTTATTGTGAAAACCAGGGATGAGGGCTGGGGAGAGAGAAAAAGAAAAACCTAAGCAACCTAAACAAGGAGGCTCCAAAGCTACAGTTGAGGGGAATGTTCTACATTTTGGTGTTATTTTCTCATTTTTTAAATATTTGGTTTTGATTTTTCTCCAGGTTACTGTACACATTTAACTTTGAAAGGGAGAAAAGAGTCTGGTTTCTTAACAAAAAATTAAGTAGTGGTGGGAGCAAGTTATGAAACAAATACTCAGGGCCACATATCAGGAAGGAAGACTGGCTGGCTTGCAGATAAAACACACATTATCCCACAGGTTCTAGAACGTCAGGGTAAGGGTGGACACAGGAGCTAATTCTTTTCTGTAGCTCCTATGGTACTGTGCTTGGTGCCCTGCACATACATGCCAATATACATTTGCCAGAATACAGAACCTTTGACTTTGTGAAAAGAAGGTTGTTCCTACAGAAAAAACCACATTAGGGGTGTCTGGGTGGCTCAGTCGGGTAAGCCTCTGCCTTCAGCTCAGGTCATGATCCCAGGGTCCTGGGATCGAGCCCCCCACACACATCGGGCTCCCTGCTCAGTGGGTAGTCTGCTTCTCTCTCTCCCTCTGCCCCTCCACCCCGCTCATGCACGGGCTCTTGCACTCTCGCTGTCTCAAATAAATAAATAAAATCTTAAAAAAAAACCCATAATAATCCATGGGTCTCAACTCCTTTGTATCCTATCTGGAAAGGGTGAGTCTCAGCTTGTCCACACCAAGCATCATTGATCTATTGCTTACAGCCTTCTCCTCCTCCTTATGTCTGTATCCAGCCTGACTATGCTTACATAGGCATATGTATGCATGAATCTGTGTGTGTGTGTGTGTGTGTGTGTGTGTGTGTGTGAGAGAGAGAGAGAGAGAGAGAGAGAGTGGGTGTCCCTTTTATTTTTTATAAATGGCAGCATACACAGTGTTGTGGGTTGAATTGCATCCTCCCAAAATTCATATGTTAAGTCCTAACCCCCAGTACCTCAGGATGCATCTTTTTGGAAAGAGGTCACTGCAGACTTAATTAGTTAAGATGAGGTCATAATGGAGTAGGGTGGGTCCTTAATTCAATATGACTAGTGTCCCTCTAAAAAGAATACCAGGTGAAGAGAAAGAGACACACAATGTGAAGAGACACAGAGAGAAGACAGCTATCTGAGAGCCAAGGAGAGAGGCCGGAGCAGAGCCTCCCCTCAAAGGCCCCAGAGGGAACTGACCCTGCCAATATCTTGATTTCAGACTGCCAGCCTCCAGAACTGGGAGAGAGCACATTTCTGTTGTCAGCCACCCACTCTGGGGTACTGTGTTATGGCAGCCCTAGCGAACTAATGCAATGGCAATGTTTGGCCCCTAATTCTTTTCCCTTAAGAAATAGAGCTCATTCCATATTTGTACACAAAAATCTACGTCATTGGTTTTAGTGACTGCAAGGTAATTTAATTTAAATATTTCCCTATTGGTGGTTATTTAGGTTTTATTCAATCTGTGTTCTCAATAATGCTGCAATATATCTCTTTATATGCATACCTTTGTGCACATATGCAAGTAACTCTGCTGGGTAAATTCTTAGAAGTAGAACTGCTTGGGCAAAGAGTAAAAAATATTATATCTTAAGAATAAAAATAAGTTAGTGGCAGGGCACCTGAACGGCTCAGTTGGTTAAGCGTCTGCCTCTGGCTCAGGTCATGATCCCGAGGTCCTGAGATCGAGCCCCATCTTGGGCTCCCTGCTCAGCACAGAGTCTGCTTCTCCCTCTCCCTCTGCCCCTCTCCCCCACTCGTACTGTCTTTCTCCCTCTCTCTCTCAAATAAATAAATAAAATCTTTAAAAAAATAAGTTAGTGGCAAAAAAAAAAAAAAAAGTCTAGAATAGCCAGAGGATGAACAAGAGAAATGAATCAAGTCGGGAAATAGTGTTATCTGAACATTAGCACTGATAGCATTGAGTAATGAATTAATCGAGAGTGGCCCCACCATCTGCTTATAGTCTTTGCTCTAATCAGAGGCAAACTTCTGCCCACACGCACAATGCAGAAGTTAAGTACATCAAGAAGCATATTTGTGTATCTGTATCTTAAATGTACTAGTGGACTGTGGGTTACAGAGAAGGGCTCAGATAGCCTCCCCACAGGAGTCCAGCTCCTGGCTAAAAACCTATGTGTAATTTTTCAGACCTGACCACAGACAATTACAAAGGCTCTACCTGGCATGTCTGTGGGGGAAAGTACCCTCCCTTCAGAGCCTGTTGGGAGGCCCAGTCAAGGACCCAGGTACCCTCTGCTGCTCATGTTCTTTGCACAGTTTCATTCCTAGCCAGGGGCCTTCATTCCTAGGCCTTACAGGGGAGGAGGAGGGAAACTTGAAGACACTCTCACTCCAACTCAGTACCCAGCACTTTTCCACTCCTAGCCCTTCCCCCACGCCTTCTACCTTACCATAAAAGTGCTGGAGCCCTTTGTTCTGAGCCCCTCAGCAGTGAGAAGACCCCCACACACATCTGTGCTGATCCACCTGACCCTCCACCTGTGTACCTTTCCATGGTGGAAAATGGAACAGGAGGAGTCCAGTTTTAGCCTTTTGTTTATACCATTGCTGGTCACTCTCCCAGCTTAGCTGAGCTTCTGACATCCCTTTCCAAAACCCTTCAGTTGCTCAACGGTCTCACCATCAACCAGGCAACAGGCTACTCAGGAGTTAAGCATACGAACTAATCTCCACATTGCCCAATGTCCATTACCCATTCAAGGGGACTAGGAATATCTTTGTGATAACCAAGCAACTAATCTCTTTGCCCATCTGGTCTCAATAAATGAAATTCTCAGCATTACTTAACCAGCAAAAGGGCAAAGAGTGCCTACCCTATATGCCACTCCCTTTACACGTATTATTTTGTTCATTCCTCTTAACAACCCCTTCTGGTGGGTGCTATCATTCCTATTTTACAGATGAGAAAACTGAGCAACTTCCCAATGCAAACTCCTGGCAAGGGGTGGCTTGCCAGGACGCTAGCTGGGACCTGTCATCAGTGCTCTGTCCACCACCCCGTAGCACCTTTCCAACAGTTATAGGCTGGTCCTCCAGGAACTAGCAGCCAGGGTGCGCTGATTGGCGGTGACCTCCAGCCTCACCAGCTCCTGGAGAAGTGGACTGCAAATACCCCAGTAGCAGCCTGCGTGTACCTTTGGGTCATCTTTGACCCCCAGAAACAAGTCATCCTTCAGCTTTTTTTGGCAGTGCTCACACGTGCAGTCAAAGTAGTACTGCTTCTTCAGCTGCTTCTTGCGCTCTTCGCTGACATTAAGGAAGTCGATATAGGACACTGTCAGCTCCTCTCCTTCTGAGATCTTGCCCAGGGCCCGGAGCTCAATTCTGAAGAGGGTAAAGGAAAGAGGAAGTCAAATCCAGGGCCAACAGAGTGGGGTTTCTGCTCTTCAAGGTCTCTAGGAGTTGAGTCTCAAAGACAGCTTCCACTAGCACTCTGAGAAAACTCCCATTCCCCACCCCCCTAAATAAAAGGGAAATGTGACCTAAAGGACAGTTTTCTGGATAATTCTGTTCTATTCATCGTAACAATCAAATTGGCTCCATTTAGTTAATTGCTCTGAAATCCAATTAAATAGATTCCAGGTAGAGGGCTGGGCCTGGTCATAAGGCCGTACATAACTTCCATGCCTGCAATTATCCCTGTACAGTTTGGCTACTGATTGCCTGCAACCAAGGGGGTCAACCTCCCCATTTCACAAGGGAGGGCACTGCCACCCAGAGACGGGAAGGAACTTCCCCTGAGGTCCCACAGCACTTTGGCAACAGTCAAGATCAGAAATCAAGTGCCATTCATGCTTCACCTCACCATACGGCTCTAGCCCTGGACTGTCCTCAGTCTGCCTCCTGGGTCTGCCATGTGCAGGAAAGGAGATACACCAAAGCCCTTGATTTTAGAGCTCTGCCAGTATTCTAAATAGTTCCATGTGGCCAATTCCTGGGCCAGTGTTGAGTGTGGATCTCTGGTGTCTGGTCCTGGTGGGGTAAGTCAGCAGGTCTGCCCCCACCAACCCCTTCTCCAGGCACAGCTCCATCGTGGTATTCAACAGTGATTCAGTACCAGCTGAGTTAGGACTTCTAGCAGCTTTGCTTCCCATCATGATTCAGGCAATTCTTGCAAGGTTTCAGAATATCTCAAATTATTTCAATCGTGTTAAGAGAATTTTCAAAACCAAATTGATTTAATATCACTCAAACACGAAAATATGCATGCTCCTTTTTATCTAACTCGGAACTGGGGATCAGGGGACGAATAGTGACCACCACTTCATTCTCCCTCTTCCATCTCTAACGCCCTGCAATTCTAGAGTTCAGCTAATTGAGCCACACATGGACAATTTATTTAAGCATTCCTTGGAGAGATGAGAAATGCAGCCCAGAGCCACAGAGACTTAGAACCAGGAAAGTCCCTAGAGACGCTCTCATCTTGACCTTTGCTCTATAGATGTGGAACCAAACACCCAGGGGATGATGGGAATCATCTAAAGTTACATGCAATGCAGGCCGACACAGACTCCAATGCACCAACCACTTCTATCCCTGCCTTCCCAGAGCCCAAACTCCCACGCAGAGCTTTGTTCTTAATCCAAAGAGCCTTTCAAGTACTTTCAAACCAAACTTGAGAGAAAGACCCATCTGGGGCCATTTATTTGTCATTAAGAAAAATTGAAGCAAAATCTAACCTAAACCACTAATTCACAATTGGCCAGAAGCAGTAAACAGAAAAGTGTGAATAAATATTTATCAAAAATATCACAATTATGGGTGCTATTTTCAGAAGCCAGTCTGGGTGGGAAGTTGGGGGTTATAAACAAACACAGTCCTTTAGTAGGTCAATAACATCAGCAGTCCTCATTTTATGATAAGCAAGACTTTGAGAGACAGTGTGGGCTTTGCTAAGGTGGTGTGGACTAGAAGGAATCGTCATGCTTGGGGGAGTGAGAGAAGTAAGGTGTGAAAGATGGGGAAGAGAAGAAGCAAAGGAAAGCAAAGGCACAGCAGGGAGTGGGTGGGTGAGGAACAAAATGATTCATATATATGCATTTAAAATACAGCATTCAGCAAAGATGAGACTCTGGGGATGCAGGAGGACATTACAGCCAGAGAGCAGCCACGGAGTCCCAGGAAGGTGTGGCCCCAGCAAACCGGGCAAGTGAGGAAGATGGGTCAGAGGAGTAGGGATGCTTGCAAAGACTGACCCACCTCATCTGGGTGTGAAACATGGATTTCACTGCCTCATGACTGAAAGACAAAACAGACACCCAAATGGAAATCATTACCATTGGCCAGTCCAGTACAGCTAGCAAGGGGGCACAGCATCCCAGCTGACGCAATCAAAATTTTGGCCATCACAACCACCTTTATATCCCAGCCCCTTCCAGCTGGGCTCACTTGACAAGACGCAGCCTGGTATAGTGGAAAGTGCACTGGCTTTGGAAGAGAAGTTCTGGGTTCAAAGGTCCTCAGCCTTTCCTGGGCTCAGTGTTCTCAACCGTAACCTGGCAAATGGGATTGCCATGAGACAGTGCATTTAAAGGTAGGTGCCAAAAAATGTAACGGGATGCTATTGTTATCTCACTCAGAAGCATCTTGGCCGAATAAGTGTTGCCTCTTTGACGTCTATCTTGGGGGCTGTGTGAACTGTGTGTGGAAATTGGTTAGGTCACACAGGTCGTATATAAAATTTGTTGGGGTTAGAATTGGGTTCTTTCCATTATGGCAGGCAGCCAGGCTGTGACTGCAAAGTCACCTTCTCTTGCACAACAGCCAAGAAGCCAGGTAAAATGTGGCTGCTCAAAATTAGTGGGTGCAAAGCCAGAGCAGACACCAGAAATGATCTGAAGAAAGGGCTCCCAGGCTCCTGTGGCTGTCACGTGCAGTGACAAGGGGAGCCCTGGGTCACCACTGCTTGGGGGAGTGGCATCCTGAAAGACCAGCCCCATATGTGGCTAAATTTGATCCTCAGCAACCAGGCTAACCTGGGACAACAGCCCCTCTGAGGAGGATTCCATGAGGTTTAGGAAGGGAACTGTAAATGCTGGGGGAAAATTATCATTTGGATCCAAAATAAACTTCTCTGTCTTGAGTGACTTTCTCACTTGCTCAAGAGCCTGGTGTCATGCAGGCCCTTGCTTCCAGAAATAGGAAGGAAAAGGGGAATCAGAGTCCCTGTAGATTGGGGTTTAGGCTTGATTCCTGACTGAGAACCAGAAACCATTGTCTCTGGTTTTCAGGAAGTTTTGGGGGGGAAACCTGCCCATTGTTGATGGCTCAGAGATGACTCGCATCTGTCATGAAAACTTGTCTCATCTCTAAGAGCAAAATAAGTACTACTGCTTAGGTTTTGTTCCTCCAAATCCCCCCAGCCCTGAGCCATGGACAACAGGGTCTCTTCCTGTTTGCTGACTTCTCCACTTGTGCCCACCCCCAAGACACATTCTTTGTCCTTCTGTCCCCTGATCTGTGCCTTTGAAGTGATAGATGAGGGGTACTGGCTTCTAAAGGGCTTCATCACTCAGGGTCCTTTGCTGTCTGACTTCTGGTTGGAGTTTGGCCAATGGGAGGAGATCAGAAAGTGGGAAGAGAGAGAGGTTGGGGTATTTAGTCTCCTGGCTCCCTCTCTGCCTCACCATGGATCCAGCAGTGGCTGCTTTCTCTACCAGTACAGCCAAGCTATTGGGAGGGGGGTGAAGAAAGGAACCTTTCCCATGGCTGCAGCTCTCACCAGCTGCAGGAACAGTACACCTGCCCCTCTAGGTCTAGAGGCAGTAATGGTTTCATACTATTGCTAAACTCCGGACATCTCACCATTCCTTATTAGTTTCTTAAACTTTACCCTTACTTCTGTAGATTGTCCTGTTATTAAATTCTCTTTGGGTAAACTCTGAGTGTGCCTTCTGATTTCTGCTGGGACCTTGGCTAATATATGCTCCTGCCAAGCACCTTCACAGCTGATGCTGTTCTGCAGTGACCTCTAGATAGATAATCCCAGGCTTCAAGCTTTAAAACAGTAGTCAAAGGTTTACCTAACATACCTAGGCAGCCTCCAGAAACATGCAAAGACTCAGAAATTACCCATGTGGAATTCTTTGCTATCTTCATCATTACCTTTCTCCCATACACAATGATTCTACACTTGATCTTAGCCAAAAGGCTGAGAAGCAATCCACAATGATTCTAAAATGAAATTTCTATTTGCTGCCCAGTAAAAACCCATGCAAGTTCAGGTTCCATAGTTTGGTTTAGGTCAAGTGGAGAAAACACCATAAGGTCTCCCCATCCCCATCACACCATCCCCAGTTAAAGACATACTCACTTGCCATTGTTAAATATGACGGTGCAGTTGGGCCAACAGTCGTGGTTCACCAAGCCCAGGTTGGGGAAGATGCCCACGCCCACTGCCTGCAGGCCTCTCTGGTCACTGAGCGTGAAGCCATTGCAGCTAATCTACCCAGAAGAAAAGATGAAAGAGTCAGTTAACACACATAGATCAAAGACAGAACACCATCCTGGCTGCTGAAAGTTCAAGAAAATGGAAGACTCAGTCTCATCCTGGAGATGCTTAGAGAGTCTCCTATTCTCCAGGTCACTCCAAAGGACCCTCAAGATAAGCACCCTGGGAGAGTACCATACTTGCTAAAATGAAAGCCACCTCGGAAGTTTAGGGTAGCTTTATTCTACAAAGGCCGAAGACAGAAATGTTCGTTCTGAGAAGTCTCCCCCTTTTTCTGTATGGGTCTCACATGAGTCTTCCCCAGTCTCTATCTTGGTTCCTCTCTCTGCTCTGCTCTGCCTTACTCAGTGTGTCTGTGTGTGTAGGGGTGGGGGTGTTATGTGGCCTGAGCCTGCAATCCACTAGGCTCCTATCCCCACCTCTTGGACTCTTATGGCTACAAGAGGTCTGGCTTTGCTAGACGAAGGCAGCACTCTCCAAAAGTCCTTCCTCTCCTCTCCCTGATGTCCACAGCCCATGGCTACAGGCTCTCCATTATCCTGCCCACCAGATCTGGGAAAAGGAATGGTCTTACTTCCAAAGTGACTGGTGGGCAACAAGGGATGGTGATTGGGTCTTTGCTTTTGATATGGACAGGAGAACAAGTAGAAAGTGCAGATAAACAAGAAGGTAAATTTCTATCCAAATCTACCATTTGGAGATAACAAATAGTTTGTGCATGGGATGCCAGCTTCCAAGAGGGAGGGAATGACTTCCTAGTAAGCATGGCCAGAAAAACAGAAAGGCAATGAAAGTTCTCTACTTTAGGCCTCTGTTCCCTCTAGTCCTTCTCTCAGCCTCCCCCCCCCCCCCCCCGGCAGCCCCTGAACACGTCTTGGCTGACGAACCCCCGCTGTCCCCCCCCCCCCCCCCCCCCCCCCGCCACATCATGAGGAACCATACCACTCCGAAGATGTGTGAGATGTACTGCATGCTGAACTGCTGGCTCTGGGGAGGCCAGTACTGCAAGAAAGTGTCCACGTCCACCCGCAGCTCCTTTTGCTCCTCCTCCCCAAAGTGCTCCACGTGGTTCTGCAGGTCATCCACAGCGACCAGGCAGCCCTCTGTGAGCCCGGTTCCCTCTCTCTCCACCCGCCACATGATGCGGGCCGCCAGTCTGTGGACAGGGGCACAGGGATGCCTGGCGCATTCATTCATTCAACAGACACTTACCGAGTACATACTGCATGCCAGGCAGTGTTGAACTATACAGACGGAATTTCTTTTATCATGGAGCTTTTTATAGTAGGGGAGACCTAAGTTAAAAATTTAAACTAGTGTTAAGTGTTATGCAGAGAATAAAATAGGGTAACATGATAGAGAGTGGCTGGGGAAGGGAAGCCAAGGTGATCAGGGGAGGTGACACAGAAGAGGAGCACTTGAGCTGAAAATGGAATGAACAGAAGGAGCAGGCTCTGTGCAGATGGGAAAGGAGCAGTGAGTACAAAGACCCTGAAGAAGGAATGAGCTTGGCACAATGGAGAAACAGCAAGAAGGCCAAGGTGGCTGGAGTATAGGGAGTGAGGAAAAGAGAGCAAATAAAGGCAGAGAGGCGGGCAGGAACCAGGTCACATGGGGTCTGTGAGACCATGAAAGGGGTTTAGGGACACGGAAGTGTGGCAGCCTGGGTCTCTCCTGATAGTATGGCTAACTGAGATGGTCACTGGAGAAGGAGTCTAACAACCTGGGTTCAAGTCTGTTTCCAATTACTGTGTGACTCTGGGTAATTCATTTGAACCTCCCTGAACTTAGCCCCAAGAGAGATAATACACATCCCCTGATGTGGTATTTGGAAGACAAAGTAATGTAATGGATGTCCACATGTGTGTGAACTTATTTATAGTCTTAGTGATTAGAGAAAGAGGTGGGAAAGATAATCTAGGTGGGTAAATAGTGGGAGCAAAGGCTCGGAGGCAGCCAGAGCCTGGGCATATGCAGGAAGCAGGGAGGAGCTGGCCTAGCTGGGGCACAGAGCTCTGGAGGAGGAGTGGAGGCAAGGTGGGATGGAGGGAACCCTGGAGAGCACAGGGCATTGAGTGTGAGATAGGGGTGCACTTCATCTTGAGGACAATGAGGGTCCCCTTGTTAATTGTTAGGCAGCCCAGGCCCACAAGATGAAGCCTATGATTGGGGTACATTTTGGGAACTCTCAGCTACTCGTTGAATGCATACTGGCCAGGCACCTTCAAGGGGCTTGTGGCCTAAGGCAAATCCAGTCCTTGAGGGACCCCCTTGGCAAAGAACAGGCCCAATTCTCCTCTTGTTTGGGTCACAGAGTCATTTCTGCAAAGATGCCCTGCTGGGGATCCCAGGTGCTTGGGAACCAAGGTATCTCCACATGGAGCTCAGGATAGCACTGGAGAAAATAAGGCTCGGGTAAGGTGTCTGTTACCTCTAAATATTAGGGAAATGGCCACAAAGTTTAGAGGGTAAAGACAAATGTGAAACAGATTTCAACTCAGTATCAGAAGAAACTATGAAGTGGGACTATGCAGATAAAGCTAGTGAGCTCCCCATCATGGAAGGTAACATTTACTCTGGGCTTTAAAGACTAAGTATGATAGTGAAGAACTATCTGCGCTCCCATGTTTACTGCAGCATGATTCATAAGAGCCAAGATATGGAAACAACCTAAGTGTCCATCAATGGATGAAAGGATAAAAAAGATGCAGTAAACATACATAATGGAATATTATTCAGCCATGAGAATGAAGAAAATCCTGCCACTTAAGACAGCATGGATGGACCTTGAGGGCATTATGCTAAGTGAAACAAATCAGACACAGACAAAAACTGCATGGTTTCTGCTATATATGGTATCTTAGAAAGAGAGAAAGAGAGAGAGAAAGAAAGAGAGAGAGAAAAAAAGAAAGAAAAGGAAGGAAGGAAGGAAGGAAGGAAGGAAGGAAGGAAGGAAAGAAAGAAAGAAAGAAAGAAAGAAAGAAAGAAAGAAAGAAAGAAAGAAAGAAAGAAAGAAAGAAAGAAAAAGAAAGAAGTCAAACTCAGAGAAACAGAGAAAAGCGGTTGCCAGGGTCTGGGGAGTTGAAGAAACAGGGAGAGGCTAGTAAAAGCACCAACTTTCAGCTATAAGATGAATAAGGTCTGAGGATCTAATATAAAACATGGTGACTATAGTCGATAACACCATATTGTACCATTGAAATCTGCTGAGAGAATAGAACATAAACGTTCTCCCTTAAAAATAAAAAGGATGAATATGTCAGGTGATAGATGTGTTAATTAACTAGATGGGGGGCATCCTTTCACAATGTACACATATATCAAGTCACCATGATGTACAGTTTAAATATCTTAAACAATCTTTTATGTCGATTATACCTCAATAAAGCTGAATTTTTTTAAAAAATTAAAATAAAATTACAAAAGAACATTTTTTAAAAATATTTATTTATTTGACAGAGAAAGACAGAAAGAGCACAAGCAGGGGGAGCAGCAGTCAGAAGGAGAGGGAGAAGCAGGCTCCCCACCAAGCAGGGAGCCCGATGAGGCACTTGATCCCAGCACCCTGGAATCATGACCTGAGCCGAAGGCAGATGCTTAACCAACTGAGCCACCCAGGCACCCCAAAAAGAACATTTTTTTAAAGAAGCAGGAGTTCAACAGATGGAACTAAGGGGGATGGGGAGGCTGACTGACTGAGCCATTTCATTTTGTAGTTTCTTAAAAATTTCTAGGATATGATGATTCCATTCTGTACTTTAACTTCACACCCTACACACCCAGTGAAATGCTCCCAGCTTGACCTTCCACATCTCTTCTGCTCTCCACCCTCACTTCCCAAGCACTGACCCACAGTCCTACCTGGTGGTGTTGGCCCTGAGATTTCTGGCCACAGCCACCCGGGGTCGCCACTAACTGTTGCAAATGCCTTTTGCGTGTAATGAGTGCAGAGGGCAGTGTGCACAAGCCCAGGGACCAGTGGTCCGTGGTGCTTGAAAAGCTCTGCATTTTTTCTTGGTTTGCTTCTCTCTTTCTTTTCCCTTTGCTCATTTGTTTGGTTTCTTAAATTCCACATATGAATGAAATCATATGGTATTTGTCTTTCTCTGACTTATTTCACTTAGGATAATACTCTCTGGCTCTATCCATGTCGTTGCAAAAGACAAGATTTCATTCTTTTCTATGGGTGTGTAATATTCTGTTGTATATGTGCATATATATATCACATCTTCCTTGTTCATTCTTCAGTCAGGGGACACCTGGGCTGCTTCCATAATTTGATGATTGCCGATATGCTGCTATATAACTATAGAGAACACACTGATGGCTACCAGGGGGAGGGAGGGTAATGGGGAAAATGTGTGATAGGGACTGAGGAGGGCACCTGTTGTGATGAGCACTGGCTGATGGATGGAAGTGCTGAATCACTATATTGTACACTTGAAACTAATATTACACTCTATGCTAACTAGCTGTAATTTAAATAAAAACTTTTTTTAAAACAGCTCTTCATTTTTTAAAGGTAGCCACTACTATTGAGCTCTGGCTCATTTTGCCAAATCTTCAGATTTTTTTTCAATAGAAACCAGAAATCCTAATTTTTTTAATGTGGAATTTCCCAGTCTTTTAAACATTGGCAGATCAATTTTTTTTTTTTTAATTAAACACTAGGGAGCCATTGAGAATAGGTCTGTAGCCAGCTCCAGCCAGTCGCTGTGGACTGGAATGGCTGCTGCAGATACCCAGTTCTAGATGGGCTCCCAGACACAGAAGTGCCCCCTCCAGTCTCCTTGAGGCTCTATTCTGACTTGCGCTCAGCCTGGCCTCCTTGGGCCTGGGAATGCTCATCACTAAGGCCTTTCCCCACCTGACATTTGGGAATCCTAAGTACCAACCCAGGGCCCAGCTCTGACCTGATGTTCTCATTGGGCACCTTTCCATATCTCTTGATGGCTGAACACTCATTCTTGTGGTTCAGCCAAGCATCCTTCTGGCAGGTGCGGTCACAGTAGTGGGCAAACTTGCACTGTCCACAGCGATGGAGCTTCTCCTGCCTCTTGAAGCAGGTATGGCACACAAAGTTAACCAGGCTGGAAATGGAGGGAGAAACAAGTGATTGAGGTGGCACAACAAAAAAGGACTGCACTAGACATTGGGCCCCAACGTGGGAGACACTATTAGACCCTGCTTATAAACCTTTCAATTTAACTCAGCAAGTGTAGATTTATGACCCATACGTGGTAGGCACTGGGAATACACAAGCCACCAGAGGCAAGTGAACCTGCATGAGGAGGCTTGATAGTGGACCCATGGGGTGTTCCTGGAACACACTGGAACAGACACCTGAGGAGCCGAGGAAGTCTTCCAGGCCAAGGGACTGGGTGAAACTTCCTCATGGTTCCCTCGCCAAAAGCCACAGGTCCCTGGCACCATGGCATAGGAAGGAGTGTTCTGTGTGACATGACCTTCTCATTCTTGAAATGCAATGACCCTTTCCCTGAAGAATAAAACTCCTAACTATCTACAATATGAGGGAACATGAAACATGATATATTTTACACAAAATGAGGTCCACGACTTGTGATATATGTCACAGTTCTGTGTGGTTTGCAAGAGTAACAATTACAAGGTCACTGATGTCAGCGAGGTCATACACTGCATTCTCCTGGCTCAGAGAACAAGTGGCAGTGACACAGAAGATCGTGCCTGCCCACTCAGTGGGAGAGGGAGAGAGGTGTAGGAAGATGACATTCCCTACCCTGTGCTTCCAGCCCCCAGTGTTCCCAAGAGAGCTGCGTGTCTCCCAGGTGAGAGCCGTCTTTCAGGCAGAAAAGGGCATAGGTTAACGTGAAGGAAATGTACTTCAAGACATAACTTAAACTCAGAGCGAGTGAAATCTGGTATGATGCGCAGTATCTCAATATCTCTGCAACGTGGGAAAAAGAAATCCTGGCCACTGAAGCAGAGAAATGATGAAAAGAAGCTCAGCAGTATGTACAGAAGCACTGAGCTCCCTGGGAAAAATGGGTATGTAAACTTGGGCTGGAGCTCACAGTCTAAAGAGGGATCACAAAGTATAGGAAAACAGGGGCGTTTAGAATCACAGAATTCTAGAACCTGAAAAAATAACTTTCAATAGAACATACAAGTACAGAAATCCCTTGTGTCCATCCCTGATCATGCCCTTTTGAAATTCCCATAGTGAAAAAGAGCACACTGCTTCCAAGAACAGTTAGCCCATTGTTGGCCAGTCCTAATTGTGGCAGATTTCCTCCTTGTGATAGGCTCGAATTTGCCTTCCCAAGAAACATACTTGGTCATCTAATTTGGCTCTCTGGATCCTTGTCCTGCGGAACAGACCTGGGCAGGTCAGTGCTTCAAGATTTTGAAGGCCGCTGCTATGACTCCCCTTCATTTCTTCTCTCAACGTTAAACACTCCCAGTCCCTTCAACAGTCCCATTCTGGTCTCAGTGTGCCCACAGTGGGTCCCTGCAGCCAAAGGAATGTGGGTGCAGCAGGGCAATCAAGCAAGATCCAGCAGCCAATGCCAGGGCATCAGGCTCAAGGATCAGCTCAAAGGCCAGACCCTGTGGTCCCAGGATGGTATCAAGGAATGGAGAGATATGGGGCACCCAGGTGGCTCAGTCGTTAGGCATCTACCTTTGGCTCAGGTCATGATCCCAGGGTCCTGAGATCGAGCCCTGGGTCGGGTTCCCTGCTCCACGGGGAGCCTGCTTCACCCTCTCCCACTCCCCTTGCTTGTGTTCCCTCTCTCGCTGTCTGTCAAATAAATGAATAAAATCTTTAAAAAAAAAAAAAAGAAATGCAGAGACAGGTAGAGAGGCAAGCTGAAGGCACTGCATGGGCTATTGCTCTCAGCTAGGTCCTGGGCTTCCTGGAGACCAGTTTTCAGTCTCTGGGTGGCCAACTCAACACACTGCTGTGTCCCCATCTGCTGTGAGGTGCATTGCTAATAATTTGTTATTAATCATGAAATACAGGCATGGAAGGTGGGTGGTTATTTACAAGTTTAGAGCAGGTTCAAGGCTATTCCCATAATAATGTCTTCTTCATTCCCCTGCAATCCCTTAAGCTTTCCCAATGAGAGAGGAAGGGCAGAATTACACTAGAAGCCCATCATAGCTATGCCACAGAGGGTATTCCCTGCTTGAGAAGGTCATTTGCTATGAGCACTCCAGCAGAACACAACACATGGGCAGGAACCCTGACCATTTAGGCGTATCAACAAATCCCTAGAGATGGGAAGCTATGAATTTCTCACATCTGCCTCAAGTCAAGATGGCATTCTCTGGCAGGAATGTGAAGTTCTTCAGCAGAGACTGAACTGCTGAAGAACCCAAGTAATTTGGATCCCAATGAGGGTCCAGTGGGGCACTGGTGGTTCAGTGCTAGAATTCTCGCCTGCCCAGTGAGGCTCCAAATTCTGTCTCCTGGCTACTCAAGGGTGGATTCTGGGTCACAGTGCTTTGTAATTATGGTGCCCAGAACAGAGTATAGCATCCAGGTGTAGTGCTATTCACATTTCCTGGATCTGGACATTGTGATTCCATTAACTTTTTCAGCAAAAAATTCACAGTTATTTAAGATCAAATAACAAATCTAGTCACTAGAAGTTGTCTTAAAGGTGCTGCAGCCAAGTAGAGCTTCCCCCGATGTGTCCATATGATGCTGTATTTTTTTAAATAGCTTTGAGGTATGACTGACATATATAACCAAAATCTTTAACCTGATAGACTCTGACATATGCACATACCTGTGAAACCATCACCATGACCGAGACGGTGAACCTATCCACCACTCCCCAAAATTTCTTCATGATGTTGAATTTTTTTAACCTGAAGTGGGGGCCTTCCCCTTTATCCCTAGCTGATAGTATCCCAAACGGTCCAGATCATTTTGAACTTTCATTCTGCCATCACTTCTATTGGTATGTTGAGCCCTAAGTCATCTACAAGTCTGAAAGCAAGTCTTAGGTTGGGAAGGGGAAGGAGGAGCAAATGCCCACCTCTGGGGTATCAGGACCCAGACTAGGAATACAAATCCAAGGCAGAAAAGAAAGGGAAATGGCCTGGAGAGGGGAGAGTTAGAAGTAAGCATGATCATGCTGGAGCTCCATGCCTATCTGCTCTAGGTGTGCCCATCAGGGAACAAACCCCCACTGCTCTACCATTTTATACCCAAACTGATATTTTTAGAATATTCAAGCATAACATCCTCATATTTTTATTCATACAGATATATTCACATTCATAGACATATTTCATGTGGAAACTGAAATTTGCACCTACCAAATATTACCCTTTGCAGTTCTCACACTATTTCTCTGTTTCACATTTTAAACAAAACCACAAACTCCAGGTAGTCACCTAGAATAACAGAAGTTCTGCTGCTTCATCTTTGTGGGCTCTACTTATTTCTAATATATTCAAACTTCAGGAAGATATAGTCACACAGGGGCTGGAGATGTGAACCATGGCCTGTGCAAGCTCAAGCAACTGAGAACCTTAAGAACTTGCTCTTGCAACAAACCCATGGTGGAGGGCATGGGTGTTAGGGGTCGACCAGATGACTGAGAATCCTCCGGATTAACTTCCAGGAAGAATACAATATTTACTGAGGGATATGTGATTTTAAAATGTGCTAATTTGAAGTTTATGCAACAGCAATTGTTTTGAACTAAGACCAATGTAGATTTTTTTTTCCAAGGAAGAGTATTTTATCCTTGACATTGTTTAGAATTGCTGGTGCATGGTGATAATGAAAACACAAATCTTTTAGTCAGGTTTTTAAAAGTCAGTCTTGTTATTGTTTTTAAATTCTCTGCAGACACCTCCTTACTGTCTGCCCTGGAGATGGACCTCTGGAATTTCCCTGTCCTTGGTCCACACTATTTATGAAGCTCAAATTTTCTTAGCCTGGCTCGAAGAGCTCTGTCCTGGAGCCTGCCTCCAGGATCCCATGAACTGACTTAATATACTTCTAATGGGGCCTGATTACAGAATAATCTATCTGCCATGAACAATAGCAATAATATGTACACAAGAAATTCTAGTGGAAAGCCCCTCATGTCTTCCAAGTCACTAACAACCACTGTGACCAGGAGAAGGCTGGAGACAGAGTCTCTGTTCTACAGTGTAAAGACTTCACCCCAAACTGGGTAATGGAGAGACCTCTGCAATCACTATATATATAGTTATCAGTCCTTTAATCAACTCAGCTATCAGTTCAACAACATTTCACCATCATATTGTCTCACAAGAGTCTTTACAAATACTTTGCTATAATGAATTTTTAATTACTTCTCATAAAAAGAAAATGTGATTAATTTGGCATGATTTTTTTTTCTTATAGTGAACTCATAGTTGGTTCCAAATGTTAGCCACCAAACTATCCAAACTATTTTCTACAGGCTCACACACTTGTTTTATAATCCATCCTACAATTTTGCTAGGACCTAGAGTCAAGTTTTAAATCCTGGTGAAAAGCATTGTGAGTTGTCTCCTAATTGAGATCTCCTTGAGATGAAGCTGAGCTTTCTCTCTATCACCTCACCTGCCATTAAGGCTTAGCCATGAGGCTGGAACTGGGAAGGAGGAGGGGCATGTGTTTGAAGCAGAGCTGAGCTTCTGGAACTTGGGTGTGCATACACATCACCAGAGATCTTGTTAAAATTCAGGTTCCAATTCAGTAGGTCTGGAGTGGGGCCTGAGATTCTGCATTTCTAACAAGTTCCTAGATGATGCTGAGCTGTAACTTTGAATAACAAGAATATAGAGATGAGAGAAAACCTGCTCCTTCTGGTGGGGTATGCACAAAAGTATCAGGCAGGCAGGAAGGGGAAGTTAATTTATTAATTTATTAATTTATTTTTTATTTATTTGGGGGGGCAGCAAAGCAAGGTTTATTGAATGATAGCAAAGTGATAGGACAAAGCTCCCAAGGAGGGAGGGGACCTGAAGGGGTTGCCCTGGAAGGGGGAGTTTAATTAAAAAAAAAAAATCCTGTTCCTCTGGTGTCCATCTCCCTGATTGGTGACAGAATGGGTATTATGGAAGGTCAGACCTGGAG